ACCTTAAAAGTAAACACCAAAGGAGAGCCATGGCACTGGTCCGGGAATTTTATAATTAGGAAAACAAAATTCCTCTATATTTGTGTTTTATTTATTTGAAAGACTATCTTTGAGTGACCACTGGTAAAAGTAAGAGCACTGGCGACATTTATTAGCCATTTTGTGAGGGGTGTTGCAAGTGTTTTTAAGACATGTTTTTAAGCCAAAGGGTTTTTAAGTCAAATACATCCCCTTTCCTGTCCATCTTTATTACAAAAGAAAAAAATATAACAGAAAACTGTCTCCTGTCCTAGTTGGCAAAGAATGAAGTTATATCACCCACCGCAGTTTAGAAGGCTACATGCCAAAATCTGGTTGGCCCAGGCCAACCATTGTATGTGCACGTGGTTTTACCAAGAAAGGCAACCCAGTACCTGATCCAGTCCTCTTCCAGCTCATCGCAGGACTCGCCACCCGTCGTGTAGTCTGTCTCATAGTGGTCTTGCTCTGATCGCTTAGACTTTCCTGCTCTGCCCTTCATGGGAGCCCTTTTGGAAAGTGTCTCCAAGTTACCACTGCTGCTGTAATGAGGCTGCCTGAAGTCATCCACAGGTGAAGTCACTGGAAGCTCCTGAACCACTTCAGGTACCCTAATAAAACAGCAATCATTTGTCAGTGAGCCCTAGGACTCTTTGCCAGCGGTCTCGGAGGGCAGGGACAGTAAGCACTCACACATCTACACGTGGGAGCATTCACTCAAGCAGCTCACATGCCCTCTGCTGAGCAGATCCCGAGCTTCCTGTGCTCAATTCAGCGCCAGCTCAGCTCCTCTAATACACACGGGCAGCTTTAAGGCTCCCATGTAAGAGGAGCTGATTAGTAACCCTTCTAAGTAAAATGGGTGTAAGATTTCACTTTAGGAAACTCATGCTGATCTGAAAGGTGTTTACCTGACCTATGCCAGGGACTTACTCCACAAAGGCTCTTAGGAAAATAACAATCATGACTCTCTCCTACAGGTTTTTCCAGTTCCATGGAATGCTGAGTGGGGAGAGGAAGGCACACACTAATCTACCTCTGCAGGCGGACTCTCAGACATTAAGCTGTAGGTAATATTAATTTTAGACTCATATATATCAAAACTCTTTTCCAGACACAACATTGAAAAACTGAAAATAGTAAAAATTTAAACTAAAAAACTTTATATTATAATAGATTCAAGAGCTCATTGAAACTTTTTAAATTGCAAGTTAAATAATCCTGAAGCTGTGCAGAATGAATGGTTACCATTACACTTATTTTCCTAATGCAATTATTTAATATTGCATCATATTTTTAATTGCACATAATGTTTCTACCCCAAGCAGGAAAACAAAGCTTAACACAGAATAAAAGACCAAGAGCTGTGGCAATTGTAGACTGCTTCTGAATAACAGAAATGCAAAGCTTCACGTTCCCCTGTAGTTGAGCGGGAGAAGGGCAAGAAGAGAAATGGGAGACAAGGTGCCTGAGACTTTCCAACATCAGCCCTGCTATTCAGATCAACTATTAGAAAGTCTGAAGTATTTTTTCTTATTGCTTTCAACTTACAGAAACTGTCATCTTGAGCTTTGTCTATGAGGTAGACTCTGTTTTCTCGGTGATTCAAAACTGCTTGACTGGGAGGGACTGAGCGGAGGTAGTATAGCTGAGTGGTAGAGTGCACGCTTAGCATGCACAAGGTCCTGGGTTCAATCCCTGTACCTCCATTTAAAAATAGGTAAATAAACAAATAAACCTAATTACCCCCCACAGAAGAAACCCCCCAAATAAGGGAAAAACCCCCAGAACTGCTTAGTTCTAACTGTTGTCAAAGTCTGAGATTTTTAAGCATACTTATTCATTTCTTGTAGACTCCTAAAGCTTGGAGGGGGGGGTGTAGTTGAGGGTGGTGGCGGTATTTATTTCTTCTTTCTAAATTTATCCAGGGTGGCATGGCTTTGTGTGCTTTGTTAATGCTACTTCTAAAGGGAGGAAAATGTGACTTTCTCCATGGGTCAATGATTAACGAGTTCCTAGACACTCTGCCAAAAGTGCCAGGTACTCTGCTTCTAGCTGCAAGGTGGCAAACCAAACATTTAGAATTCAGTGGGTTTGTCTGAGGGGTCAGGGGTCAGAGGCCAGAGGGGGAGGATGTTAAAGGGCAAAAGAAATCAGAAAAACAAACAAACAAACCCAAAAAATAAAACATTAAAGCAGGCCTCCTGGTGGGGAGGGTATGGCTCAGTGGTAGAATACGTGCTTAGCACAAGGTCCCAGTTCAATCCCCAGTACGTCCACTAAAAATAATAAATAAATAAACCTAATTAAAAAAAAAAGCAGGCCTTCTCTTATAATTTTATATTAGATATTAACTCTATAAGCCTTTACCTTAGAAATTTTCCATCTGCCCTCTCCCCACACCCTTTTAAATCCTAAACAGTAACCTGATATAACATGAAAGCTTAAAAACAAAATGCTCGGCAAGAAATATATACATAAATTTCAGAGTTAGGGGATGTGGGCACTCTCAGTAATCTTCAAGCCTACTTTTAGACACAAGTCCAATTAGACCAAAAATCTGCACCGCCCAGAAGTAAACCAGCTGTATACTTTCCTTAGTACCCAACTCCATCTCCTAGGTGCAGAACTTCACCCTTTGGAGCTTTTGACTTCCTTCTTTTATACTCACTTGTTTTATTCTCACACAAGGCACCCCCTCACATACCTTTGCTGCTCCTTGCTCGCCCTGGCAGTGTAGTTACTGTGTACTCTCTTCCACCCCTGATAGATTGCAACCTCCATGGGAAGGCAGACTTTGCATTCTCAGGGGCACTGGGCCTGGTACTGTGACCATGGCAGGGGTTCAAGGTAATTACTGAACTGAAAACACATCCGCAAGAATCCTCTTTCTTAGGACACCCAGTATCGGTGAGGAAAGAGAAACACCACACCATTCCTCCCAGTGTCATGACTGTCAGAATGACATCCACTATGTACCTGTTTTAAAGCTGCCACCATTACTGAGGGGAATTCCTAAGCCTTGCCAATCAGAGACCTCCATCTTCCTGGACTCAAAAAGGGCCAATCAGAATCTTTCCAATAGATATGATATGTAAGTCTGGGGAAAGGAAATTGCATTTTCTGAACCCGGGGCTAGAATATCTGGGCAGCCTGGAGAATATGACCAGGCTGCTACAACAGAAGCTGAACTGAGAGTAAAACCAGTGTAGCAACAAGAGCCCTGGTATCTTTCGAGTCCCTGGTTCATGCTATGCCTGAAGTTAACCCTATCTTTGGGCCTACTGGAAAGATTCTGATCCATGAGCCATCTCTCCCTTCTACGAATGAGACCTAGTATTAGAGGCAGAAGGAGAGACTGAGAACCTCACTTAGCTCTGCTATCAGTCAGTAACACCATTCCACCCTCACCTAAACCTCAAAATCAGAAACAGGAAAGAGGGCCACGTTCCGCCTCCACTTGCAAGGCAAAGATCAGTCTCCAGCCTTGGAGAAAACAGTTGGCTTTTTTTTTTCCCCTAAGGCGAATGACACAAAACAGCAACTGATTTATAAACACGGGCAAATATTCATTCTTTCAGACTCATTCTACCAAAAGAAGGAAGATGCTACTTACGGTGTTGACTTATGGGAAGACTCTGGATACCACCGCTTCTCATTCACTTTACCGTTGGAAGAGTAGGCCACGGGGCTGTCCACTCTCTCCACATAGTCAGAAAGGGGAGGCGGCATGTCTTGTGTGCCAGCAGAAACGTTTTTAACCTAAAGGAACAGTCCCAAGAGACATGGTTATTATTATTTAGCTTGTAACTTAAAAAGGGAAGAAATGGAAGGAAATATCATATATAAAGTTATCTAATGTTTAATGGGCTCATTAAATACCATTAATCCATCTGGCTGCCTTGTTGTTACTAGTGTTAACAGTCAAATGAGTCTTTTTACAAACATGGAAATGGTGCTATTATTAGTCTAACAAATCCAGAATGAATGACAAAGTAGAGGGAAAAAAAAAATCTCCATTACCTGATTCTCATCCTGATGTGATTAGGTGGAATAACTCCCCATGGTAATTACTCCACTCCATCTTAGCAAGATCAAGCTCATTTTATCTAGCCTAGGTCTGGGTTAGAGGGAGAATTTTCATTTCTAACAAATTCTCAGGTAATGCTTATGCTGCTGTCTGGGCACCACTCTGGGAAAAACCACTAATCTAGGACAAAGAGCAATGGCTTTTCTTAATCCAGTCACCCTAAATACGGAATGTTAAAACCCCATTAAGAAGCTCAAACTGATTTCTGCTATAGTTCTTTAACAAGTCTTGTTTATTCTCCCTTTACATTCTCAGTGGCTCTGCTGTTACCAGGCTATACAGCACAGTCACAGCCCTCCTCCTCTACCTTCTTTCTCCTTCCATTCTGATGTGTGAATGAGTTTGTTCTAAAAGTAATATGCACTGGAGACTACAACTTGTTAACATGAAAGGTTTCCCAGAGAACCCTGGGGAGAAAAGTTTATAGCCAGTTAGATTCCCTACACTGTCTGTTAGATTTCATGTAGTATATCCAACACCTTTAAGTCTTTACATTGTTAGGTATTATCCTGCAATTGATAAAAAAAATAACTGCTAAGCCCAGACAAGTCATTGAATTGTTTTCAAGTAAAGGAATAGAAATGAGGTATGCGGGGGGGGGGGGGCGGGCGACTTAGGGGCTTAACTCCAAAAATTGTTTTCTGAAAAAGAGCAACTTTTCAAAAAATAGGGAAGGTGGTACTGCTTTAGCTTGATGTTGAGAATAGTGGCATCCAGTTACCTGGGCTCACTCTAGACCTGCCAACTGCAAGTTCTAGAAAGCCCCAATCTCTTCATCTGCAAGAAATGGGGAAGCTACTTACTTTATAAAGTTGTTTTGGGAATTAAATGAGATTACAAGGTATCAAACTTAGCACAGGGCCTTTTATGAACATAGTAAATACTCAGAAGATGCTGGGTTCTGGAAATTAAAGCTATTGGATCTAAACCAAGAATTTGAAAGTGACAGCAGACTTTTAATTGGATTATTTTGCTATTATAAATCTTCACAGTTAGATTCCAGCATCAATATAGTGTATTTCCCTGCAATACACACACTTTACCATCTTGTTTTCCGTCAGGCATAGCACTAGAACATGACCTGCTCCTTTCCTATCACTGCACTATCACATACCAGAAGATATTTATTTACCCACCTCTCCAAGTACATAGAGGTTATTTATTCTTGATTGTTTAATATTCCCGTGAGTCAGAAAGGAATGGAATCATTTCCTTCTGAAAGTGGAATTTGGCAGCATCTGGGAAAGCAGTGGGTGGTTGCCAGGGAGCGTGCTCAGATCCCACCACAGGGGGGAATGGGTGGGAACCATTCGTGGCGCCCACTGAATTCCTGAGGGCTTGACACCATCACCAAGCTTCACAGGCAAATGCCCTGCCAAGCCAAAGGCCTATTTTTTATTCTTGAGACTTCAGATTTTAAAAGACTTCCTTTTCTTAAGAACCCATTTAACACTTCTCCAGGTTTTCCTCCTTGGCAAAGTTAACAGGAGTTGCAAAGTTCATGGATTTCCTACTGACCCTGGCAAACCGGAAACCAAAACCTTACAAAAGAGGTGTCTGGGTGTCTCTGTAGAGACTTCTTACTGCCCGGAATGGAATGTTCTTCCCCCTTTCTTTGCCAGCTAATCCTTAATTGGACTTCAAGTCTTGGCTCACTTCCAAGGAGTGGTAGTGCCACCAGCTCCCAGGGGCCATCCATACACGTTCCTGCTGGGAGAGGCACCTACCTGTCCCCCTATGTCCCCAGCACCTGTGCACACAAGCTTCCCACAGCTCTCAGTGCAGTAGGCAGAGGACTGCGACTGCCTGCCTGCTTACAACATGCCACATACTGAGCTGAGAGATCATTTAGTAGGAACAACCTTACAGGTAAATAAATACTAGCATTCCCTGTTCAGAGGACACGACGGCTCGGGGCACTAGACAACTTTCCCAAGGACCTGCACCTAGTCGACGGTAACGGGGGATTTATACACAGGGCTCACTCGAAAGCCTTGGCTCCAATCCGCTGCCTCTCTCTGGGCTATCTCCTACCTTCCTTCCTCTTTGGGTTTCCAAAGCCCAGCACAGCACCTGGCACAGTGCAGGAGCCCAGAGTCTGCTGCACAAAGGTCACCTCATTTATTACTGCTCCGCCTCTACACTGTGTCAGTCCAACTGCCTTATCAGGAGAGCTGCTCTGAGCTGACCTTTATCTCTCAGAGTCAGCACAACTGGACTAGCCTGACCTCTGACTTCACCCTCCAGCACAGGGGCACAGGTTTTCCTTATTTGAACCTTTTTCATACACGTGCACAAAAAATTCCAAGGCAGTGCTCGCTTTGGCAGAACATATACTAAAATGAGAACATTACAGAGAAGATTAATGGCTTCTGCACAAGGATGACATGCAAATTTGTGATGTGTTCCATATTTCTGAAAAAAAAAATGCCCAGCCAGACTCAAAGATAAATAGGAAGCAGCCTTTATTCTTGACAGGAGCTTAAGACTTTAAAGGCATAGGCAAAATATACTTGTAAAACAAGGAATAAGGTCATTTTTTCCCTTTAAGCCTTCACTTTTTCCAAAAGAAACTACAATATTACTTTTTCACACAGTATTGATGCAAGTGAGAATAAACCTGCTGCTTTCAAAGGAGAGTGGGAGGAAGCGGGGAAGCTCCAGTGTGGAGGAACTGGTATTAGTAACTTATGTGCATCCTCAACCTGTGTCTCTTACAGTGAGAAAAGGGATTTCTGCGCCTCGCTGTTGCTATCCATACGCTGCCTAGCCAGCCCACAATGCTCGATGATGTAGCTGAAGTCATTATAAAAAACAAAACAAAACACCAAACCTACCATTTTAATAACTACAGTAAATTTTAAAAGATTTAGAACCTGAGAAATACTAGGCTTAATTCTAAGCACCAAATGGTGAACAGGTTCCCTTGGGTAACTTGAGAATAGCTCAAGAAATTAGGGGTAAAAGAAAGCAGAGTGAAAATACAAATTCAGGAAGATGTGTCTTCTACAAAGTACTGAGGGGAAAGAAAAGTTTGAGAGTCAATCATTCCCAAAACCGAAAGTTGGAATTGCTGTTATGAAACAAGAGGAGCCTCGGGTGGCGGGGGCTGGTGCAGCGCCCCCACATCTGCCCCCAGGCCCTCCCCTGGGGAGGGGCCCCGAGAGGGGAGGGCACTGCAGGCAGCAGAGATAACTTGTAGTGCCCACCCAGAGGGCGGCTCTTAACTGGGATCTGCCGGAGGAGTTCCTGGTCCCAGAGGCACCCCTATGGCACACGCAGACTTTATAAAAGGGAAGACCAGACAGCAGAAGGAAAGACAGACATGCTGAGGCTGAGGAGGAAAAAACACCCCTAACCAATCAAAGAATGACTCAGACTCACTCCTGAGACTAAATTCTAAAAGGACAAGCACTCACACAGATCGTGTTTAAGAAATATGAATTATTAATTTAAGGGGATACACAGGAAAGTTTTACTAAGATTCATATTCCAATCAAGAAAGAACTAAAGTGCTTCTGAAATGTCAAAATGAAATAAATTCAAGTGAAATAATTTCGAAAGATCTTCACGAGGGGCACTTATAATGAGGACAAATTTTAATTCAAAATTTAGTTACACTCATTACATGTGTTCTGATTATGTTACTTTGCGGGGGGGGGGGAACTTCGCAACAAATAACATCTAACACAGCTTGGAGAATTAATGAAAATATTCTAAATCCCAGGGGGTGCGAACAGGAAAACAAAGAGGGTGGATGGGCGCAGCCCTCCTCTCAACACCTGTCAGGGCTGAGCCTCCCTCCCTTGGGACCAGGACACCCATGCATATCAGTGCTACTGACCCAGGAGCAGCCGCCCCACCTGGACTCCTTGAGGTCAGAGATGGAATAAAGAAGGTTAAGAACATTTTAAGTCACTTCTCCAAAACAAAGTCTGGGGGAAAAAAACCTTCTCTCAACTGCATACATCATCTGGAATTAGTACAAGCAAAAAGGAGCAATGACAGCCGTGCCCTGTTTTGCTCTCCATCCTGTCTTCATTCCTAGTTCACACAACACAGAAAAGGGTCAGACTAGATCTGCATCCAACCGGTGTAACACTCTGGCAAAAGGCATCTACCTCTAGGAATAAGATGGACTTCATGTGTTGAATATCTAGCACTCCCCAGGCAAAACCTGGCCCTCTTTATTCCTCACCACAGCCTGTGAGTATAGTTATCTCCACTTTCAGATGAGCAAACTGAACCTCTAAGGTTCAATTAATTTGCTCAAGGTCACACAGAAGGTGACATGGTAGAGGGGGGATGTGAAGCCGGTCGACCTGACTCCCAGGCCCACCTGTTTCCGGCGTAACAAACTGCCACCTCAGGAGTCTAACCATGGCTGAGGTACCCGTCTCCTCTGGGCACTGACTAGTCCCTGTAAGAAAAGGAATCCTTCTTCTTGCCTTAACTCCTCAACACACCCGAATGAGACATGATGTGAACCCATTTTGAAGAGTTTTATATGCCTAATGTTCTAGAGTTCTAAGAACAGCTTTTGACACAAAATTACTTCCAGTATGTGCTTCAGTTACCAGATGCCTTCTTTTAGGTCAGAGTGTAGGAACACCATTCTCAAAAGGGAAACAGAAGGGCTTATCTTCTGTTTTTGGTAATTAAAGTGGAGAAATACACTGGATGTTAGTGGGAGGAGTGCCTTAATCTCAAAGTATCATCTCCAGTTTTACAACCTGAGGTCCACCTTCCGGGCCATGTGCCCTTGCATGACAAGTTTTCAAAACACTAAGTGGTCCAACTCGTTTTTCCTGTTTTCTGATATTTTACACTCACAGATGCTCCTCCAACAAGAGCCTCAAAACTGCCTCTGGAAAGTTCCCTCAGACTTTTCTCCACCCTTGGTGGCTTGAAGGCAGATGCTCCAAAGGTACTAATGTCACAAATGAAGAGATCGTGGACCAGGCTTGAGCAAATCTGATTAATTTATGCTGATCAGGTGGCTCTGGGGATGTAGTGAACACAACGTTCCCTATCCAAATGCATGCTGCCCATAGGGAACTACTAACCTAAATCAGCCAAGGTGAATTCTGAAGCTCCTAACAGTCAATGAGTTGTCAGAGCTTTGGGAGGGGTGAGGCGGAGAAGCTTACACTCAGTGAGCGATCCCATTCCAGGCCCCTTGCCCTAGAAGGGGAAACCCTGATGTAGACTGTATTTTAACACTTGTGTGTCTTATGCCAGCCTCCTCAATGGGTGTGCCACAGGCACGGAACATCTTAGTCCTCAGAGCCTACAGCCAGTCACACCTAGGGTTCCAAATCCCCTTCAGTTTACTACAGCGCTCCATACGCCCTCAGCATTTTCTCAGTATGCCATGCCTGGAAGAGGCCTAACTCAAACCTCATTGGGCTTGCAGTATCACAGCTGCAGCCTGGCTCTACAGAACAGTGGTTCTCAAAGTGTCGTCCTCAGACCAGCCAATCAACACTACCTGGGAACGCTGGGAACTCAGAAATGCAAGTTCTCAGGCCTCACTCCAGATCCTCTGCACAAGAACTCTGGGAGTGAGGCCCAGCAAGCTTTTAAACTAGCTTTCCAGGTGATTCTAAAGGTTTGAGAACCACTGATGGAAAACAGTTTTCCTCTGTCACAGACAACTGCCTATTTGGACCACAATACCTATAATTAGAATTAACCCGATTTAGTGCCAAAATATAGGAATCCCTGTTTTCAAAGAGCCACACAGACACTCACCAGCTCTAGCACACATCCTACCTCACTTTTTATTATAACTCTCTACACCAGCTCACCAGGATGCCCTGGCTTCCCCCCACCCCCACCCCCCTTTCCATTCACAGTGGGGTTGGGACAGATAGAGCCTTCTGTACTCCATGCTGCTGGGCTCTGAAAGTCAGTCCACAGATAGGGCACTTTCCCTTTCATTCCATTTCATCCCATCTGAGGCCACAGCTAACAGCAAAACCTTTCCCAGGGCACGAGCCCCATGTACCAATTGTTGGCAGCCCACAGAACTGTTTTCACATTAAAGAATGCTTGTACTTACTGGGTGAAAATAAAAAGCTATGTAAGTTTCTTCAGTTGTCTATGCTGATTACCACCACTGCCCTGTCCCAGTCACCTGCCACACCCGTACCTGTTCCCTCCTGTGTACAAGGAGATGATATGCAGAGTCTGCCTACACCTTTCAGTGAAACATTTGTTCTGATCTGGTGGCAGCCTAAAAGAGGAAGATTAACAGTTTAACAACTCCAACCTACATTAAACGTGTTTATATTTTGGGTACTCTTACCCAAGCTCCCTTATTCAATGTCATCATTGAAAATACTAGCAGCTATTACTCTATCTAAAATTTATCTGACGTAGTAAGTTACATGCTGGCCCTGAACTAAGCTCTTTGTTACAGGATCAGCATATTCTGTAGATGGAACTTTTATTTTCCCCATCTACACATGAGAAACCTATTAAATTAACAAGTAAAGTGATTCTCTTCATCAGAGTCCAAGGAAACCAATAGCTACCCAAGGCTGACCCCAAAGGACGGGGTCCAGGACCCTGCCCTTTCTCTACTCCCAGGCCAGAACCTCACTAGCTCCTACCTTGACAGGTAAACACTGGGAACAATGCTGTATCAATACTATATCACAACGTCAAAGCCTTAGAAACTTCCAGAAATAAGGCTACCTAAATAACAAACTTAGCTTTTAGATCTAAGTATTTCCTACTTAAAAATAGGATCTTGTTTAACCAATTTCATTTACTACTTGGTTACAATGGAGAAACGAGTTTATGGCATGTTCTCTCCAAACTCAGTATATTCTTGTTTCTGACATAAGCCATGTAGTGTAACAAGAAAAGGTGCAAATTAGGAGACAGGCAGAAAGTACTGTTGAGAACTGGCATGCTGATCTGTAGGAGAGACAGGCACTTCACACACGTTATCTCATCTTAATCTTAATATAAACTAAGCACTATTGCCCACAATTCTACCAGCAAAGAAAACTAAGGCTCAGAGTATCTCAGAAGGAAAAACAAACCACACCAAAAAATACAAGTTATAAAAGCAAATATAATTCCTGTCTGGCAGGGATCAGAAAGACTAGTGATTAGTATGTCAGGCTTGAGACAGGTTACTGGAGCCCTCTGCAAACCTCAGTGCTCCCTTCTCTAAGAAGAGGATCCACACTGTGAAGACTGCAGTTAGGGTGATAATATGGATAGAGTGCCAGCCTGTAAGGGCTCCTTAGGAATAATAGTTCCTATTTTTCCTTTATTGTGATTTTTTTTTTAGCTTTGTTGCAAAAATTAAGGCTTAAAGCTCAATCCCAAGTCAGCCTGATGTACTGAAAACAGCACTGAGAACGCAGAGTGGAAACGTGTAGCCCCCACTCATCAAGTC